CCAGAAGATAAAATAGCTGAAAAAAGATTCTCCATGGAGCAATTACGAGGACATAGCCCTGCCAATACCTTGACTTGGTGAGGTTGACTTTGGCCTTCTGACCTCCTACACCGTAAGATAGTCTCTGAGCTGCTTTAAGCTACTAGGTTTGTGGTCATCAGTTTTGGCATCTATAGGGAACTTAGAGGACATTATATAGATTTTTTGGTGTATATTAGGCTCTTCTGTTTTTTAAATTACTTCTTGTTTGAATAACTTAATCAATATACAGCTACAGAATAACTTATGATTGAAATAGTTGATAGTTCATTCAAAGACTTAATAATAAAATAGATGGCACTAAGTCAGAATGTTGGTTTATACTTCAGTAAAATTACAGTGTCACTAAGTTCATAAATACTAAGTTACATAAAGAAGACATCCAGAAGTAGATTGATTAAAATAGTAATGGTATTTTTTCTGCATGCCACTACTATAAATGACTTTCTATTTTTTGCCTTTACACTATCCTAATTTTCAATAAGTAGTATCACTTTCACGATGACAAAGCACATCAACATATTTTAAAAAAGAGACAGCACTGTATCAAGAAACATGAAATGTAACATAAGCAATTCCACTACGTTAGACCATTGGTGTCAAAATGCTAATTTAACTAATAATTAAACATTTTCAGAATTACATGTCTGGTTGATCTTAATGGATCTGTAGTTTGGTTTTGAAAACATTGGTTAACTTTAATAATGGTACAGTTACAAATATCCACTGACTACCTACTGTTAGCTGCATGACCGACTACCTACTGTTAGCTGCATGACCAGAATGTGATGACTTGGAGATAATGATTTAGCAGATTCTGGCAATTAACTAAACAAAACGGAAAAAGACAGAGATTAGAACCCAGACAGGAGGCCATCGAAGAGCACGATGAATTGTGATAAGGATGTTCAAGTGTAGCTCCCCACAGTTGATGGCTTCTGATAGATGTGCAGGTAACGAATACTCAGTTTTCTTGAAGAGGCTAGCCATTGAGAGTCTGACCATACTTCATTGAATATATGAGCAACATAAATTGGACCCGTTTTTGTTTCATTCTTCTACTTTGTTGGAGGGTGATGGGGAGGTTACAAGATTTAGGGAGTGGACTTGGGAGGACTGGGAAGTGTGATCAGGGCACAATAGATGAAATCTCTAAATAATCAGGGTAACCCCAGAGGAAGACCAGCAGTCTCAACTAACCCAGACCTCTGAGATCTCTCAAACACTATGCCACTAACCAGGCAGCATTTGCAAGCTGGTTCGAGGCCCCAACATATACAGCAGAAGACTGCCTGGTCTGCCCTTAGTGGGAGAAGATGTGCCTAACCCTCAAGAGACTTGAGGCCCCAGGGAATGTTAAGGCCTGGCGGGGGTGGAGTGGGTAGTATCCTCTTGAGACAGGGGTCAGGAGGAATGGGATGAGAAACTGTAGGAGGGCAGACCATGAGTTGGGCAATGACTGGACTTTAAAAAACTAAAAGTAATAAAAAAGAAAGAGAGAGAGAGAGAGACAGAGGGGGGCGAGGTTGGGAGGGAGGTGAGGGAAGGAGGGGGAGGGAGGAAAGAGAGAGAGAGAGAGAGAGAGAGAGAGAGAGAGAGAGAGAGAGAGAGAGAGAGAAGATGAGAAGAGGCAGGCACTGGGTAATAGTTCCCTGGTAGATGATTTGCCTTGTATGTATGTGACCTTTGGTTCAGTCCCCATTACCACAAAATGACTGTGGTTTGGGACTAGGTTATGAAAACAGTGGCTTCTTATGATGTTTTGATTCTTATTTGTGGCTGACTAGATTGGTCACTGTGACAGCAGGCTGTTGTAACATGAGCCCCACACTCACCTTGCTTTGCCTCTTGAATATACCCACTTGCCTTGCATTTTCTACCATGTTGTAGCACCAAAGGTACCCCTCCTAGATGCAGCCTCCTGCTCTTGGATTTCTAGCCTCAGATCTTTAAGCTAAAATAAGTTTCTGCACAGTAAATTACCTAGTCCAGGAATTCTGTGATAGTAACAGGAAATTAACTAAATCAAATGATATCTTACTGTGGTTTTGATTTAAATTCATTTCTTAATAATATAGTGTTTTTTTATGTACTTAATGTCCATTCCTTTGTATTTATTAAAGAAATATCTATTCAACTCATTCCTATACTTTTAATTGCATTTATTATTGTTGTGAAAATTCTCTATATAATTTAGTTTCATTTCCCTTGTCACATGTAGCATCTATTTGTTTTTCAATTTTGTTGATTCTTCTACTTTCTTATTCAACAACACCTTTGTTGTTCTCAAGTTGTCAATTTTGACAAAATTCTTTTTGCTTTTTAGCCCATTTGTACTTTTAGTGTTGTATCTAAGAAACATTTGATTAATCTTAGGTCATAAAAATTTAGTATTGGGGATAAGGGTATGTCTCAGAGGTAAAGGGCATTTGTTGCTCTTTCAGAGGACCCTAGTTCAGTTACCAGCACCCACATTAACAGCTGAAAACTGCCTATAGCTCCTGATCTCCATGTGTACACACACACACACACACACACACACACACACACACACATTCACTGTGTAAATAACAACAAAATCTCTTAAAAGTGATAAAACCATTGTTGTATTTAATTATAAGAGTTTGGGTTTTAGTTATGTACAGGGTCTATATTTAAGCTAATTTTGTTTTATGTGAGATAAAGATCTAAATTCATTTTCATGAGGAACAAAAAAGAATAGGCATAGAACTTACAGACTGATACACCTTCTATTATATGTGGAAAAGAGAGTTTTTAGTAAAACTATGGTTGCTCTTAGGAAGGCCATTCTACCCAGTATGCCTTAGTCTTTTCCTATGGTCTGAGGGTATAGGATTAAACGGACCATAAAATTCCTCTTAACCCTAATAGTCTATAAGTATGTGTGGCTATGGAAACATTGCACACATAGTTAGGATTATAGGCTCTGGTTATTAATCAAGATAAGACAAATTACACAAAAAGTCTGCCCCCAGATTTTAGAGTCTTATTTTGCCACCATGCAAGTGTTGCTATGAATTTGCTTCAAGCATATCCTGCACACCTACGGCAGGCATCATGCTGCCAACTCCCCCAGCGCCGGTTATTTTACAGCATCCTCTTTTTTCATAATGTCAGAAAATAAACTGCAGTGTACTAAAAGCTTCAAACAAGTGTTAGCTTCAGGCGGTGGTGGCAGCCTGACGCCTGGCTGGTCAACCGAGACTTGCAGCCGGTCCCTTGTCAGCTCTTTAAGGAATGCATTCCTAACCTTGGAGAAGAGGTCTGCATTCTTCCAGGAAAACCAGACACATTAAAGCAACTTATCAGCTTCTCAACTGAATGAAAGACCAGATCCACATCCAACAACTATGAGGCAAAATGAGGATGCACTGCTGGAGTCTGCCTCAAATAAAATTTTGGACATTTTCTATTTTTCTTCCAGAAAATATTGATAACACACCAGTTCTTTGAAAGAGTCTTGGGTTACTTAACCTAGATTTTAAGAAATTTATGAGTCTTGTAGGGTAGAATAATAATGCACAGATTGAGCACTAATGCAAAACAGAAAGATAAATGTCAATGAGAAATATGGGTTAAAGAAAAAAATCAAGTCCATATGTTCTTTCAGGGAGATGAATGTACAGGGCATATGTCATTGAAGGATGCTGGACACCTGAATTTAAGAATGGAGGTGGAAGGAGGCAGCTTTGTTGATGAAAGAAGTAGAATGAGGAATTTCTACAGGGGTAGGGTATGGGACATTCAGAGAGTATCTGGAGAAGATAACAGTGAAATATGATGGTAATTCCTACTCCAGGCTAGAAAGTCATGCCAGAAAGATGGAAATAATGGATAAAATCTGGATTGCAAATGCCTTGCACAGCCACATAAGGAGACCACATTTTTTTCTATAGATAAAACAGAGCCACTTATGATTTTGACATAATTATCTAATTCTCTATTCAGTCATCCCAATTATAAAGGTCAATAGTAATTCTCACTTTGTTGTTGAGAAATCATTATAATCTTTCACTCAACAAGTGAACAGGATTCCAAGCTAATTTCCCACATATTGTGCAGTGAATTCAAATTCAATTCTCATGTATCTGAAAATCTGCAAGGGCAGATTCCATTTGTCACTCTAGTATTTCAGTATTGTCTAGTGTTGGAAGAGGAATGCTCTTACAAAATCCTACCTTGAATGCTTCAATTATGAAGGACATATGAAACTCTCCTGGGCTAAAAAGGAGAGCTGGTTAGTTCAATTGTATCTAGTGGTTCCAAGGCTCCTTACCCTAGCCTTCTAAACCCTCCCTCTTGGCCATGGTCCCTGTACATTCTCCATGTTCCTTCTGGCACTGGAGTTAAATCTACACTCTGTATAGGACACAACAGCATCACATGAACCTTACTGTGGATAAATGGGTATTCATTTATACAGAAATGAATAACTATATACATGTTATACAAAAATGGCAGTACCATATAATACCTTATTTTTGTACCTGTCATTTTGCAGTGGATGTTGTATTTTTGGTATCTTTTATGAGCTTTTTGAGAACAGACCTACTATATTGTATTATATACATAACCAAATTTCATTTGCTAATTTATTAAGTCAACTCCTCCATCTCCAGCATAGGCTGGGCTTCCTCCCAGGACTGGGAGAACAGCTGGTTAACATATTTTGTATAAGAGCACTGGAAAGCATGGTTTTTATTTTCTCTTAGGTCTCTAAAGGGATGCTGGCTTATTTGTTCAAGAGCTTCAGAGATAAGACGTCTGACCTCATCATCTGAAACTAATCTATCAGCATGGATGTGTGAGGGTGCAGTGAGTGTTAGATCAGCCGGCCTCACACTGACAAATCGTGCGCCAAGCATTAAATCCAGGTGGTGGTTGCTAGTTCACACAGCCCATCCACCAGCAAGGCTCTCATGACTGAATGTGGCACGTACCTCAATGAAGAAGATGCTGGCTGCTGATGTTGGATGGTGATACATATAAACTGTCACCAGAACGGCCGCCGCTATAATGAGGATCAAGATGAGGATTCCAACGATGAGGCCTGCATGGAGGGTTCCTCCTTTCTTCTCAGCTGCACTGTCATCTGTGGAGGCTGAAAAAGATCCCAGCTGTCAGGCTCCTTCATATGTGTACCCTTAAACTCAAAATTTCCTGTAACACTGAATCTTTATTATGTCAGTTCAGGCTTGCATGTTTCCATACAGCTAATATCTGAAGTTGTTTAAGCAACAAAAAATACATAATATTAATGGTTAACAGTAAATGTAATGTTGTTAATGGTGCTGGGGACCAAATCCATGGGCTTGAGCATGTTAGGCAAGCACTCTTCTGCTTAGTTACCTCTGCAGCTCCTGTACTAGAATCTCAATTTCTAGTTTAATAAACACAGCTAATAGCCTTTTGGGGCGTGTGTGTGTGTGCATGTGTGTGCGTGTGTGTGTGTGTGTGTGTGAGAGAGAGAGAGAGAGAGAGAGAACTTGTATGTATGTAGGTGTAGGGGAGCAGACCAACATCGGGTGAATTGTTCAATTGCTCTTCACCTTGTTTTGGGGACAGGGTCTCTGGCAGTAACTGAATCATTGGCTAGATTGGCTGGCTATTCAGAGATTAACAAGCATAAGCTTATCTTTTTACAAGTGATAGGAATCTCAATGTACTAACTGAGCCCTGTTTGACTAATAGCTTAAAAGTCCCCAAAATTTGAAAAACATTTCACATTCTATTTAACTATACATTAACTCTTGCCGTATTTCTCTCTCTGTCTCCATCTCTGTCATTCTCATCAAACGTACTCTGTTACTGCCCACAATGACTACTTTTCAAAACCTATCTTATATTCTGTACAGATCTTTCCATGGAGGAGTTTCACTTTTTTCCAGTTGGCAATACAGGCACTTTCAGAACCTCAGTGTACAATTCTCAAAATCTGTTTTAAACTGAAAAGATTTTTAGAAGCATAACAGGTGGAGGCAAAGAGACCCTCAAAAAGTTTTATCATTTCCTAAAGGGAAAACTATAGCACATGAAAAGACTGCAGAATGCTGCAGCCTGGTATCATTTTTTGTAAATTCTAGCAAGGTGTTTGCCACTATAATACCAATTTTCTGAGTTAGAAAAGGGAGGAATTTAATTTCAAATGTAATGACTATCCAACCCAAAGTGGTCAATCAACCACATAAAATAATCTCTGAAGTGTTCTAACATTCTGTGATTTTTGATTGTTCAGTCATTTAGAGAGCATCCTAAATTATGATTATCATAGAGGTAACTGTATGCTAGTGTGTAATATGATTGGTATTTTTGAGTCACAAGCTAATTCTTAATATGGACAGATATTCTAGCACAGTGGTCCACAATCTTTATATTAGTGGTTCTTCTCTCTGTTATTCTTATTTGTTTACTTTTTTGTTTTACATATCTTTTTATTAAACGAATTGTTAAGCATCTAGGGGTTTTTTGTTTGTTTGTTTGTTTGTTTGTTTGTTTGTTCATAACTTTAAGAATTTGTTAGTAAAATACAGACAAGGTTTTCTATTAGGATGAGTGGTCTGCATGAACTTACAGAATTGTAAATGACAATCAGAGCAGTGGTTTATAGCCTGCCTGCTCTATTTGAGCCCAGCTCGCTCACACAATCCTTTGCACTCCTTAATTCCCTTAATCAGAGCCGAGTACTAGATCATCCTTTATTTTTTCACTGTTGTTGTTTGTGTTTTGCTTGATCTTCTGTAATCAGTAATTCTTCTCCAAGTCCCAATATTAAAAATCCTAAAGGGTTTTTTCCCATTCCATAAATTAACTAGCAAATAATATAAACTTTCAAGAGCAATTCACTATATAAAGTTGCAATATACAGATTCATGTTTGTTGTCTTGCATATGTCCAATCAATAACTCTAACAGGTAGGCATTATCATCCCTGCCTTTAACAGGTGATGTAACAGAGCCAGCAGGAAATTAAGACCCATGCTAAAGCTCCAAAGTTACTAAATTAGAGCTGGGCTCAAATAGGGCAGGCAGGCTAAATAACCTCAGCTCTGTTCGTCATTTCCTCAGCTAACACTGAACTCTAAGCAGTTCTCTTCCTTTTCATGTGACATCATGAGTCTGGCATATCATTCTGGAAAAAAAAAGAAACCTGGTAATTTCAAATAAAAAAAATAATGTATAAGACAGTTCAAGACATAGCTTTGTGCTGTTAACAGGGGTGTTGGTTGTGCCTCTCGTGTGACTCAGGCTAGTGCTGGCAATCAGAAGCACTTTCTCAAGTTTATTGAAAGAGCAAGATGAGAGTGACAGAGGATGAAAGCTGAGTGAATAATGAAGGCCTTTGAAAGCAGGTGACAGCCTCTGGAAAGACATTTTCATGAAAGCAAGTGACCTCATCTTCCCTGTCCTCAGTTGCCCAGATCATACTATGATGTCAATGACATTATTACACCATAGAGTTCCTAGAAGAGCTCAGCATCTACATACAAAGTTCTTAGGGAGAGCACCTGGCATACAGTAAGCACTTATTTAATGCTAACTGTGATATTAATACTCTATTTTTATATGAAGTCGGTTGAGGGAGATTATAGTGACAGATTCCAACCACCATTAAAAGCTAGACATTCAGCTTCTTTACTAAGTATGCAATTATGACTACATCTTATGAACTAACATATTATTTTCCAAGATTATGACATATTGCATTTATAAGAAAACAGGATTGATTTAAAATGTTAGTGTGGGGCAGTTGTAGTAAAATTGAATACTTGAGTCCTATAAAAAATCTGTAATGTTTCTATGAGCCCCTTGTGTGAGTCCACTTCTTCCTCCCATCATCTCTTCCTTGTTCTTCTATTTTTCTGAGTTTCTACATCTCTTTATTCTCCCATTTCTGCCCCCATTCTCTGTCTGATTCCATCTCTGTCTGATGTTCTATCTCTCCCCTTTCTGCTTATCTACCAGTCAGCTAGTGTCTGTTCTATTGTATCTCTGTGGGGTCCACATCCTCATAAACACGGTACCACGTTTCAGTCTCATGTGTCTGATGTGTCAGGACATGGAAGGAAAATAGAAGCACTGAGCTGACCTTACACCATCATTTCCCAAATCAACCTAAGGGCAGAACGGCTAGAGAGGCAAGCGGCCTTAATGCTCAGGAGGAAGAGGGTAGAAAACATGTTTCATTCAGTAAGAGGTAAATCAAAACTAAAGCTATCACTAAATTGAAGGACATAAATTGCCCATTTTCAGAATATAAAACAAACCCAAATTTGAGTATTCCAAGTTATAAACCTTATTTAGTCTGTTTCTTTAGGCATAAATGTCAGTTCTCACCATCATTACTGAGTCATGTTTGACAAACAAGTTTGGTTTAAGTTTGTTATCACCCTTTAAAGAATACATTTACATTTTTTATAGATGTTTTGACTCCTCGTGATGTCTAGTGTTCTTTATATAAAGTCTGATTTGTTGCTATGTAAATAATCATTTCATAAGATTTCAGATGATGCTTTTAATAAAATATGACATTTTTTATAGTTTCTCAAACACTGTTGTAATGTAGACAGATATTAATTGGCCTGTGAATGTCAAGTAACCCTGATGTATCAAATGATATGTTGTCATAAGAGCAATCAATTTAAGAAAAAATGTCACATCTAACTCCAAACTATTACAAAACACTTCCATGCTAATTTAGAACAATTCTTAGTGATCGTCTATGGTGTGAGGCAAAAGGCACATACATTTATTTTTCTTTTTGGAAAACATATTCCTCTACTCCCACGTAATAAAACCAATACTTTTTCTTCTCTTATCATTATACAAATACTGTAAAAAGCTCCTTTGTTTCCAAAGACTTTATGGTTCCACATAATCTAGCATTATATTGGGGTGTTAAAGGTTGTTGAACTGAAACATCTGTCTGCACTGATGTGTTTTAGATTCTAAGTTTTTTATTTGGTTTTGAATTTTTTATTATTTCTTAAACAATACAATAGGGTATGTACATGGTTATCTATAGACAACATGCAGGTGTCATCAAAAGTATGAGTGTCTCGATGTCAAACTAAAATGTAAGAAAAGTAGAAGCAAGTCCTTGGTAACACCTCTCGTCAGATGTTAATTCATGAACCTTGTGGGAAGCCCCTCAAACAAACTAAAGCAAGTACTCCATCATAAAAGACAATAAACTAAAATGTCAACTTTGTAAAATAATTAGCACTGATGTTGGCAGAGAGAGGAATGCCAAGGAAAACTCTGCATACACCTTAGGTATAGATTTCTTGTGGTGCCCATTAGAGTCTGTAAAGTGGAATGTTTAAAGCATGGTCTCAAGGAACCTGGTCATGAGATAAAATTATTATGCTTTTCTTGGAAGTATCATAGGCTTTAAAAAATCATGTGTCAAAGCAAAACAAAACAGACCATTATCAATACAATATTATAAACCAAATAATTACAATATTCGGTCTTGCTTTTAGATTTTATTGAGTATCAAACTAAGAGAGATTAATGATAAAAAAGCAGCAAGATAACACAAATGGGACCTCCAGTCCAAAGAAGTGAATAGGAAAAACATATATTAAACACCCACACAGCGAAGGAATTTTATAGTGTTTAAGAAATGATTTAAAACATAAATCATAGAAAATCAATAATATCAAAGGTGACACATTCTTATCTGGTGTGCTGAGTGACCCATGGAGGGCTTGCAGCTTTTTAGAAGTTCATAGAACAAGGATCAATATTCAGACACAGAGGACCAACAATTGTCACATCTGTCAAAACAATTTGTTATTGCTGCCTGAGACTCTGTTACAATACAGTGAACACATGGAGTTCTAAATGTAGAAAAATAGCCAAAATTTATGGAAATTGATTTGTTTACTCTATTCCAGATAATACTCATGACTAAATGAGCTGATAGGAGGAAAAACATATGAAACAAAGAGAAAGAAAAAAGATGGCTGGGTGAAAGGACAATAGTTTCACAGTTTTTCAAAGTGGAGCAGTGGATTTTAAAACTGTGTCTTCTTATCTTTTATATTGTTTTCTTAGAATTTATGTGTGCATGATAACGATATTGTACATTTAGCATTAG